GACATACATGGCAAGCTACTGGGCAAACTGGTAACAGCGGTAAAGCCGCCCACACGGAGAGAAGCGATTAGCTGATAGTACAAAAAAAAAAAAAAACAGAAGCTGTCAGCGGCATCATACCACCCCATGGCATTCAAAGGCATGGCTACATAATTTGCGCTCTTCAGAAATGTATATGGGGGTATGTATTCACAATGAGCCTTTGCTAAAAGCAGCATAATATATATAAAGCACTGTTAAAAGTGATCAGATGCAAAACTAATAAACAGTTCACTTGAACCTCTGAAATATGTGTTTACCAGCAGGCCAATAGACACTTGTAAATCATTTACCGTGTGTTTGAAAGACTCGTTGTTAAGTGTAATATTCGATTGTCATTCAGAGCAGCCTTAAACCAGGCTTGTAAAATTAGCTTTCGTCACACTTTTTTTTTTTCGATGAAAGACCAGCAACGATTTCTGATTCCTTTCCCACCGACTGTGTGTTTGTGTGTGTGTGTGTGTTGGGTGGTCAGGACCCCTCCGCATTCTTCCGAGCGATCTGCTGCCCCTGGGGCTGCCTGGCCTGGCGTATAATTGCCCTCCGCTACAGATAGTTACCAGCCTTCCCTGTCCCTCTCCTCTTCTCTTCTTCCCCCTGTTTATTCTCTCTGATTTCAGGCTCCTTTGGGTCATCATTCATCAATGGGGCCCCCCCGGCCCCTGAGGACGCGACCGGGAGGCCCCTGTTACTACGCCTCCATAACCAGAGGCCATTTCGGATGGAGGCGCATTATACGGGGGGAACAAGAGAGCATGAAAACGCAGCACGAGGCAGGGGGTGATTATTATATCCAGATAATCATTTCAAACAAATTATCATGATAATCAATCAATCGTCACATTTGAAGCAAACTCGCCCAAGGGCTGTATGACGGCCCTCGTGACCTGTAATGTATTTCGGGAGGGGGGGCATAATCAGATGCTCTAAATTTGCAAGGTTGCTTGAGATGATATTTTTACAGGAGCGAATTTTGCTGGTCAGTTTAAGCTAACATTAGAGATTCATTTCCCCTGCGGACAGACCACCTTCTGCTTATGTTAACGGCTATCTTTTCACCTTTCCATGAAATGAAAAACACACTCACACACTTAAAAGCAGTGCAATGTAAAACAAGCTTGAATGCCACAGATTAAAGAGATAGTTCACTTAAAAATTTAATATTGTCATGATTTACATCCTTTTTTTGACTGTAGTTCATGAACAGAAAAGCAGACAAGTAGTCATTGACTTCCAACATATACAGTTGAAATCAGAATAATTAGCCCCCCTTTGGAATTGTTTTTTTTATTTTTTTTTATATATATATATTTCCCAAATGATTAAAAGAGCAAGGAAATGTTCACAGTATGTCTGATAATATTTTTTCTTCTTGAGAAAGTCTTATTTGTTTTATTTCGGCTAGAATAAAAGCAGTTTTTAAATTTTTAAAGATAATTTTAAGGACAAAATTATAAGCACTTTTAAGCTATATATTTTTTTCGATATTCTACAGAACAAATTATCATTATACAATAACTTGCCTAATTATCCTAACCTGCCTAGTTAATCTAATTAACCTAGTTAAGCCTTTAAATGTCACTTTAAGCAGTGTAGAAGTGTCTTGAAACATGAGTTAAGAAAACTCTAATGTTTATAAATGTATTCTCTCCGTTAAACAGAAATGGGGGAAATAAATAAATAGCGGGGCTAATAATTGAGGGTGTATATATATATATATAAATAAAAAAAATGTTATCCTTCCTACAATAAATGTTAATGGCTACCATAGTTTTTTAATATCCTCGTTTGTATTCAATGTATAAAAGAAACTTGTGGTGTGAGTAAATGGTGAGTAAATATCATTATTGGGTGAACTATCATTTTAAGGTACAATAGATGGTTGATTATGAGAAGGTTGTCTTGTTTTTAGTTTATTTATGATTTTTTTTTTGTTCACACTGTTCAGAATTTTTAGCTCCCCTGGGCTGGCAATTTAGGTAGTTTTAGAGCACAGTTGTAATTGTTAATTTACAGCACGCTTCTAATTTTGCCAGTAATACTGTAAAAAATTACAGAAATACTGTCAAATTTACCAGTGCACTGTAAATTAATAATTATAATTGTGAAGAAAAAAAGAGATTACTTCAAACAATGTAAAATAAAATAAAATATAAAATAAATAAATAATATAAAATAAAATGTATGAATCTAAAATGGGGCTGCACAAAAAAATCTGACATTGTGATATTTAGTTTTTCTGCAATAAATAATACGATATAAAAACAATTTTATCAGATGGTTTGAATTCATATTTGAAATATTAATATTTCAGTAAAATTATTCTTCATTAAAGTCACTAATGCTGTACGTTATTACGTACACGAAGCCCAAATGCTTTACATTCCTTTAACCATGTGCAGTCAAAATGTATATATAAATAATACAAATAATAATATAAACTTAATATTTATTAATATTCATTATTTTTTAGTAATTCTATTGATATATTACTTAATATTATTAATTATTAAAATATCTTATTAAAATACAATAAGATACTAGTCATTCATTAAATACACATCAACATAGATAGATTATTATTGGCTAATCAGACCTTAATCACTCCAAGATAAAAACAGAAAGAGGTAAAATAACACTATCCATTATTTTCAAGTCTGAGAGATCCGTCACAGCAGGGGCCACGAAAGCACTGATACCGTCTCCGAGAGCTTGTCAAAAGAGCCATTAATCTCTTTCCCATTAAAACATCAGCTGCCTGTTTTAGCTGCATTTACAAAGGCAAATGTTTTAATATCCAGCCAGACGACGACAATGCCTGAGGCCCGTTTGTTTCAAATACAATTACTGCACATTGATTTTCTATAATTAATCTATGTCTCTGTGTACTATCACTGTAAGCTTCCGTGTCACGCACATACATAGTCACACTCACACACACACTTTTAGGACAAAGTGTTGTGGATTACATCTAAAAGAGCTTCAATAAGAGTCGCGAGCATGTGTGTGTGTGTGAGGATCAGCGTTCGGTCAGACAGACTTAGATAGGCATCTCTGTTTCCGAGTGTTTGTGTTGTGAAGGAGGGATAACTGCTTAAAAAGCAAGGGATAAATAAATGAAAGAAGATCTTTTTTTCTGTGCCTGTCTGTCGGGATTTGACTTAAGACATCTTTCAGCTCTCATAATAAAGCCTGAGAAAGAGACAACGGATAGGAAAAAAAAAAAAGATTTTTGATGTTATAGGTTATCGGGCACAGATGTTTTCATTGCATTACCTCAGGGTTGATTTTGCTCACGCACACACACAATATATATATATATATATATATATATATATATATATATATATATATATATATAAAACGGAGGCCAGCTAGTGTGTGCTGTGCAGGTAAACCTCACTCATCTGACCTCTAAAGGTGCTTTAGGCTCCTTGGTAGAGCACCTGACTCCCATGCGGAAGGTCGCCGGTTTGTTACCAGCTGGAGCGGGTTGGGTAGCGTAGGACCGGCTGGGTTACATTGGTGCCGTGACCCGGATGGGAATGAGGTTTAGGGGGGTGAGTGTAACGGAGGCCAGCTAGTGTGTGCTGTGCAGTTAAATCTCACTCCTCTGACCTCTAAAGGTGCTCTAGTGGAGGACGCTAGAGGCCATGGCCTTTAGCCTCCTTGGTTGAGCACCCGACTCCCATGCGGAAAGTCGCAGTTCGATACCAGCTCGGAGCGGGTTGGGTGGCGTAGGACCGGCGGGGTTACATCGCATTAGCTGGTCGTTCCAGCTAAAACCCAGTACTCGGAAACACCCATACACATGGTATACACTGGCAAACAACGGCAGTATACAACAGAATACAAACCCATGAGGTTTGGGAACTGTTTATGCTAAACATGAAAACAAAATAAATAACATTTATTTTATTAGAAAAGTTCTACAAAAGTTTCCCTAGTATTAGTAGATGGCAAACAAACTATGAACAACAAACTATGTGAGCCAATGTATTAGTTAAATATTAGTTAGTAGCTTATGCATGTTATTGGGACGTTATTCTAGTTGCAACTATTCCTCATTTACTAACAGTTAATAAATGAAGAACAGTTGGCACTTTAGAAAAAATGTCCCAATAACATATATAAACTATTAACGGATACTTAACAAGTCTTTAGTAAGTAATTTACTAACGGCTTGTACATGATCTATTACTAAAATATTAGGTTTAGTTATAAATCATCAAAATACAACAAGTCATTTATAACTTGTTAACTAACAGCTTGTAAGTTATCTGTTGGCCATCTATAAGGCACAATTATAAGTAATTAACAAACTATTAACTTTTATTTAACAAGTCATTTATAACTCATTAACTAACAGCTTATTAATGATCTGTTTACTAGTTATAATGGATAGTTATTCTAAAGTGTTGCCATTCTATTCAATTCACCTATAGTGCTTTTCATGTTTCATGTACACCACTTCTTTCAATCTAAATTTACTTTGAACATGAGCTGAATTGGATCAATAAAGTGTTTGGCGTGATGTTTATAACCGATTATTTGTCAGCATGTAAACACGAACAGTGATGTGTGGCACAATTTTGTTGAAAAGCCTGTTAATCAGTTGGTATTGCTACAGAAAATGAAGTCCATATTGCAGTGTAAAGTGCAAGTTGAAGTGTTAAATATACCATTGTTTAAAGCAGACTTAAAGTAGAGTGGTTTGAAATTCGGTGAATATTCAAAAAGCTCATTAAAAATAATCAAGAGTACCAAAACCAAAATGTACCGAAAAGTACCAATGCAAAAAAGCAAAATACCTTCTTCAGGAAAACATTGATAATTAAACTTTGTTGTCTAAACGTATCAAACAGGTGTTTTTCTCTGTGTTTTGATAAATGTAGACAGTGAATGCATGTATTATACCGCAGATGAGTCCAGAGGGTGAACTGACTTAAAATGAATCCTACCTTTTTAATACAGCTGTCTTGAGACGACGTTTCATGATCATTCAGCATTTG